CAGAGAAACTGAAAAAATACAAAGAAAGAACCTAGCCTCCTAGCCCTGGTCTATACTAGGACTTTAGGTCGAATTTAGCAGCGTTAAATCGATGTAAACCTGCACCCGTCCACACAATGAAGCCCTTTATTTCGACTTAAAGGGCTCTTAAAATCGATTTCCTTACTCCACCCCTGACAAGTGGATTAGCGCTTAAATCGACGTTGCCGGCTCGAATTTGGGGTACTGTGGACACAATTCGATGGTATTGGCCTCCGGGAGCTATCCCAGAGTGCTCCATTGTGACCGCTCTGGACAGCACTCTCAACTCAGATGCACTGGCCAGGTAGACAGGAAAAGAACCGCGAACTTTTAAATCTCATTTCCTGTTTGGCCAGCGTGGCAAGCTGCAGGTGACCATGCAGAGCTCATCAGCACAGGTGACCATGATGGAGTCCCAGAATCGCAAAAGAGCTCCAGCATGGACCGAACGGGAGGTACGGGATCTGATTGCTGTTTGGGGAGAGGAATCCGTGCTATCAGAACTCCGTTCCAGTTTTCGAAATGCCAAAACCTTTGTCAAAATCTCCCAGGGCATGAAGGACAGAGGCCATAACAGGGACCCGAAGCAGTGCCGCGTGAAACTGAAGGAGCTGAGGCAAGCCTACCAGAAAACCAGAGAGGCGAACGGCCGCTCCGGGTCAGAGCCCCAAACATGCCGCTTCTATGATGAGCTGCATGCCATTTTAGGGGGTTCAGCCACCACTACCCCAGCCGTGTTGTTTGACTCCTTCAATGGAGATGGAGGCAATACGGAAGCAGGTTTTGGGGACGAAGAAGATGATGATGATGATGAGGTTGTAGATAGCTCACAGCAAGCAAGCGGTGAAACTGGTTTTCCCGACAGCCAGGAACTGTTTCTCACCCTGGACCTGGAGCCAGTACCCCCCGAACCCACCCAAGGCTGCCTCCTGGACCCAGCAGGCGGAGAAGGGACCTCTGGTGAGTGTACCTTTTAAAATACTATACATGGTTTAAAAGCAAGCACGTGAAAGGATTACTTTGCCCTGGCATTCGCGGTTCTCCTAGATGTACTCCTAAAGCCTTTGCAAAAGGTTTCTGGGGAGGGCAGCCTTATTGTGTCCTTAATGGTAGGACACTTTACCACTCCAGGCCAGTAACACGTACTCGGGAATCATTGTAGAACAAAGCATTGCAGTGTATGTTTGCTGGCATTCAAACAACATCCGTTCTTTATCTCTCTGTGTTATCCTCAGGAGAGTGAGATATAATTCATGGTCACCTGGTTGAAATAGAGTGCTTTTCTTCAGGGGACACTGAGAGGAGCCCATTCCTGCTGGGCTGTTTACTGTGGCTAAACAGAAATGTTCCCCGCTGTTAGCCACAGGGAGGGGGGAGGGTTGAGGGGGTAGCCACGCGGTGGGGGGAGGCAAAATGCGACCTTGTAACGAAAGCACATGTGCTATGTATGTAATGTTAACAGCAAGGATTACCCTGAAAGAGTGTAGCCACTGTTTTATAAAATGTGTCTTTTTAAATACCGCTGTCCCTTTTTTTTTCTCCACCAGCTGCATGTGTTTCAATGATCACAGGATCTTCTCCTTCCCAGAGGCTAGTGAAGCTTAGAAAGAAAAAAAAAACGCACTCGCGATGAAATGTTCTCCGAGCTCATGCTGTCCTCCCACACTGACAGAGCACAGACGAATGCGTGGAGGCAAATAATGTCAGAGTGCAGGAAAGCACAAAATGACTGGGAGGAGAGGTGGCGGGCTGAAGAGAGTAAGTGGCGGGCTGAAGAGAGTAAGTGGCGGGCTGAAGAGAGGGCTGAAGCTCAAATGTGGTGGCAGCGTGATGAGAGGAGGCAGGATTCAATGCTGCGGCTGCTGGCGGACCAAACCAGTATGCTCCAGTGTATGGTTGAGCTGCAGCAAAGGCAGCTGGAGCACAGACTTCCACTGCAGCCCCTGAGTAACCAACCGCCCTCCTCCCCAAGTTCCATAGCCTCCACACCCAGATGCCCAAGAACACGGTGGGGGGGCCTCCGGCCAACCAGCCACCCCACTACAGAGGATTGCCCAAAAAAAAGAAGGCTGTCATTCAATAAATTTTAAAGTTGTAAACTTTTAAAGTGCTGTGCTTAAAGTGCTGTGTGGCATTTTCCTTCCCTCCTCCACCACCCCTCCTGGGCTACCTTGGTAGTCATCCCCCTATTTGTGTGATGAATGAATAAAGAATGCATGAATGTGAAGCAACAATGACTTTATTGCCTCGGCAAGCGGTGATAGAAGGGAGGAGGGGAGGTTGGTTAGCTTACAGGGAAGTAGAGTGAACCAAGGGGCGGGGAGTTTCATCAAGGAGAAACAAACAGAACTTTCACACCGTAGCCTGGCCAGTCATGAAACTGGTTTTCAAAGCTTCTCTGATGCGTACCGCGCCCTCCTGTGCTCTTCTAACCGCCCTGGTGTCTGGCTGCGCGTAACCAGCAGCCAGGCGATTTGCCTCAACCTCCCACCCCGCCATAAATGTCTCCCCCTTGCTCTCACAGATATTGTGGAGCGCACAGCAAGCAGTAATAACAGTGGGAATATTGGTTTCGCTGAGGTCTAAGCGAGTCAGTAAACTGCACCAGCACGCCTTTAAACGTCCAAATGCACATTCTACCACCATTCTGCACTTGCTCAGCCTGTAGTTGAACAGCTCCTGACTACTGTCCAGGCTGCCTGTGTACAGCTTCATGAGCCATGGCATTAAGGGGTAGGCTGGGTCCCCAAGGATACATATAGGCATTTCAACATCCCCAACAGTTATTTTCTGGTCTGGGAATAAAGTCCCTTCCTGCAGCTTTTGAAACAGACCAGAGTTCCTGAAGATGCGAGCGTCATGTACCTTTCCCGGCCATCCCACGTTGATGTTGGTGAAACGTCCCTTGTGATCCACCAGAGCTTGCAGCACTATCGAAAAGTACCCCTTGCGGTTTATGTACTCGGCGGCTTGGTGCTCCGGTGCCAAGATAGGGATATGGGTTCCGTCTATGGCCCCACCACAGTTAGGGAATCCCATTGCAGCAAAGCCATCCACTATGACCTGCACATTTCCCAGGGTCACTACCCTTGATATCAGCAGATCTTTGATTGCGTGGGCTACTTGCATCACAGCAGCTCCCACAGTAGATTTGCCCACTCCAAATTGATTCCCAACTGACCGGTAGCTGTCTGGCGTTGCAAGCTTCCACAGGGCTATCGCCACTCGCTTCTCAACTGTGAGGGCTGCTCTCATCTTGGTATTCATGCGCTTCAGGGCAGGGGAAAGCAAGTCACAAAGTTCCATGAAAGTGCCCTTACGCATGCGAAAGTTTCGCAGCCACTGGGAATCGTCCCAGACCTGCAACACTATGCGGTCCCACCAGTCTGTGCTTGTTTCCTGAGCCCAGAATCGGCGTTCCACAGCATGAACCTGCCCCATTAGCACCATGATGCATGCATTGGCAGGGCCCATGCTTTCAGAGAAATCTGTGTCCATGTCCTGATCACTCACGTGACCGCGCTGACGTCGCCTCCTCGCCCGGTATCGCTTTGCCAGGCTCCGGTGCTGCATATACTGCTGGATAATGCGTGTGGTGTTTAATGTGCTCCTAATTGCCAAAGTGAGCTGAGCGGCCTCCATGCTTGCCTTGGTATGGCGTCCGCACAGAAAAAAGGCGCGGAACGATTGTCTGCCGTTGCTCTGACGGAGGGAGGGGCGACTGACAACACAGCTTACAGGGTTGGCTTCAGGGAGCTAAAATCAACAAAGGGGGTGTCTTTACATCAAGGAGTATTTCAGGCAGGACTTCACGGAGGGTTCCAATAGGAAATGGTGCACCTAAGTTATCGTTCTTATTGGAACAAGAAGGTTAGCCTGGCCTCTGATTGATACATGGCTAGATTTACCTCGCTGCACCTTCTCTGTGAGTGACTGCAGTGTGACCTAGAAGAATGAGTCCCCTAGACAGGGGAGGGGGGGAAGCAAATGAACACAGAACAAATTTGGTCTATTTCTTGTTTTGATCCACTCCATCTATCTTTTACATCTTTGGCCGGCAGCAGACGGTGCAGAAGGACTGCATACCATCCACATCTCATGGCTGCTCGGCAGAAGATGGTACAGTATGACTGCTAGCCATCCTCATCTCTTGCCTGCCTGGCAGAAGATGGTACAATACAACTGCTAGCAATCCTCATCTCTTGCCTGCCTGGCAGAAGATGGTACAGTACGACTGCTAGCAATCCGTATCGCCTGCCTGCTCACCATAAGACGGTTCAATAGGACTGACTGCAGGACTAAAGAGAATGACCTGGTCAAGTCACTCCAAATTTAGTCCCTGCGCCCATGTCTGCCCAGGCGCTCCCAGCCGACATGGCCAGGAGCACCTCGGACATGACGAGGATGGCTACCAGTCGTACTGTACCGTCTGCTGCCACAAGGCAAGCGGTTGCTGCTACTGTGTAGCAATGCTGTACCGTGTCTGCCAGCACCCAGGAGTCATAGGGTGACGGTTACCTGAGCGGGCTCCATGCTTGCCATAGTATGGCGTCTGCACAGGTAACTCAGGAAAAAAGGTGCGAAACGATTGTCTGCCCTTGCTTTCACGGAGGGAGGGAGGGAACGGGGGCCTGACGATATGTACCCAGAACCACCCGCGACAATGTTTTAGCCCCATCAGGCATTGGGATCTCAACCCAGAATTCCAATGGGCAGCGGAGACTGCGGGAACTGTGGGATAGCTACCCACAGTGCAACGCTCCGGAAGTCGACTCTAGCCTCGGTACTGTGGAAGCACTCCGCTGAGTTAATGCACTTAATGCACTTAGAGCATTTTCTGTGAGGACACACACACTCGAATATATAAAACCGATTTCTAAAAAAATGACTTCTATAAATTCAACCTTATTCCGTAGTGTAGACATACCCCTAGAGTACCTTCTTCACCTAATCTAGTCTTCACTGAGACAAAAAATCAACGTCCACAGAAACTACTAAAAATTGCTAACAGCTATATTTCAAGCTGTCATGGCAAAACACTGATGAAAGTTTTCAATTAGCAATAATCATATCTCCATTGAACTTCACAGACTATGCTACCACTGCACAAAGCTAAACATAGAGGTCTTGTGACCCTTGCTCACTCAACACCCACCTGTTTTACAGCATGGGGTGAATTAACTGCCTGCCTAGCTCACGCTGGATGAAGCTGCCAGCAGCTATTCCACCATGAGCGTCTCTTGCTGCAGGACCTAATCCTGCGGAAAAAAACCCCACAAGTCCGCCTCATGTGAGCCTTTTCCCCCAATCTGGTAGCAGGGCATCATGGGCCTGATTATGCTAATTAGCCAATCACCCTCTTTGCAGCCCTAGCCTCTTGTCCCCTTCCTGTCTCCCAAAAGTTCCACGTGTGGCAGCCTCTCCCAGGACTCAGGCATCCTCAGGAGGAGATCTTACCTATTTCTCCTCCCCTGCCCATATCATCAGCAACGCAGCAACTGTCCTGCTCTCTTACAGGACCAATGCCAAGAAACACCCCATTAGACTCTTCCAGACAGCTTGGAGAACAGGAACGCAGCCCAAAGCTCCTTCCAGCCTCAGTAAGGCCGGTGACCACTTGTGGAGAGGCTGAGAAGAGAGGCCATGGTACGCCAGAGGGGAGCAGAACTTCCATGCACCTCAGGCCTCCAGTCTTATGGGGGGAGGGGGAAGAACCACACGGCACTTTTGCTCAACCCTGGTTTGACACTGTATACCACCCTGTGAACCCCATATTCATCATTAATATATAATTGTGGTATTTCATATAAAGCATGCCACATAAGGTATTGTGGGAAAGGCTATGATCTGCTGAAAGCCATTGTTCTATATAAATATATATATCATTAGTGCTGTCAGGGTTCCCCCGCCACACTCTGAACTCTGGGGTACAGATGTGGGGACTCGCATGAAAGACCCCCTAAGCTTATTTTCTACCAGCTTAGGTTAAAATTTTCCCAAGGCACAAATTCCTTTCCTTGTCCTTGGATGGTATTGCTGCCACCACCAAGTGATTTACACAAAAATTCAGGGAAGGGTCACTTGGAATCCCTATCCCCGCAAAATATCCCCCCAAGCCCGTTCACCTCCTTTCCTGGGGAGGCTTGAGAATAATATACTAACTAATTGCCTTAGCAATGAGAGCACAGACCAGACCCTTTGTCTTCAGGACACTGAAATCAATCAGGTTCTTAAAAGAAGAACTTTATTATAAAGAAAAAAAATAAAATAATCACATCTGCAAATCAGGATGGAAGGTAACTTTTCAGGGTAATAAAAATCAATAAAACACAGAGGATAAACAGGAATAAAAGTACCTCTGCAGCACAGAAAAATTCACAAGCCAAAATAAATGATAACCTAAGGCATTTCCTTGCCCTACTTCCAATTTCTGGGGTTTTAGATGGAATCTAGGTATATTTTCAGGAGATGTTGTACCTGCTTGGCTTCTCCCTCTGTCCTGAGAGGGAACAACAAAAGAGAACAACAAACAAATCCTTCCCCCCAGATTTGAAAGTATCTTCTTTCCTCATTGGTCCTTCTGGTCAGGTGCCAACTAGGTTATTTGAACCGCTTAACCCTTTACAGGTAAGGCAATTCAGTACAGCTGCCAAGGAGGGATTTTATGCTACTGCATACATAAAGGTTGTTATTCTTCCCTCTGTATTTATGACAAGTGCATATGAAGTTATGAGGTTGTGTTGTATGGTTGTCACTAAAATATGTTGTGAGTTGGGGAATTGCTCAGATATTAGATCCCCAGAGACCAGGACAAAGGAGGTAACCAACACCCAGGCCAATGTCGAACAACCATCAACAGCCATTGCTCAGCAAGGGAGTTACAACGCAAGGGCTTACTTGCACAAGGCCAGCCCAGGGGAATTGTTCAACCTTGCCTGGTGACTCAGCAATGCCCACCAGATATGCCTGGACTTGTGTTCTCCAAGCACATGGACTGAGGATATAAAATAGGGGACATAAGCCACATGGGTTGTCCTGTCTCTTCTTCCACCTATGCTTAAGGCAACAAGAATGCTGGAGATGAGGAGACTGGTCCCCAGGGTAACAGGGAGAGCCTGTGTATGAAAGACTATCCCCAACCTGCAATATCCAGTGGGATGAGAAAAACTGCTTAGTCCAGATATTGCCTAGTCTAATAAGGTTGAGAATTTAGACTGTGTGCTTATCTTCACTCCCCCGCCACAATGCACTAGGAAGCCATACCTTAAGCCCACTTAATACAGGGCTCTTTAGGAGCCCAGTGTACCTGCAAAAGGGGCCAAAAGCTGAATTATCAAGAGACATTTAGTGGTTAAACAAACAGACCATTCCCTACACCGAGCTATTCAGCAGCACTCACTAGTAACAGGTAATGATTTACCCCAATAGGAACAGTAGAAAAAAATAAGTGAAAAAAAACAAACCTGTCAATTAAAACAATGAACAGTAGTATCACCCTGCAGCCAAGTCCACACATACTCTTTAAAACCTATTAGTATGCTAATCAATAATGAACAGCCACAATTAAAATCTGATTTTACAACAACCATATCAGTCTCACATGAGACTATCAAAAATTGCCAATGCCGACTATATTTCAAATCAACATGGCGGAATATTGGGAAAAGTTTTCAACTAGCAATAATCACACCTCAGATTATCCTCATTAGCAATGATACTGCCATTGCACAAAGCTAAAGAAAACTCACCAATCTTACATGCCACTAAAATCTGATCACTCTTCAGGTTAAAGGGAGTTTTCACTAGACCTCAAAATGCCCTGAAAACTTTCCTCCTTCAGGTCAATGTAAACCTACCTCTGTTGTAATTAAGCAATAAGATATTTACACAGACTTTGACTTTCCCTAATTTTATTACCAATTTACAGACAAGAAGAGATACTGAAGCATTCCAGGATATTGTATGCTAATTAGCTAATTGTATTGACCCTATAAAATGCCAAGGAAAAAAGCTTAGACTATTGTATTAGAAAAAGACCCCAATGTAAATTATCAAATTAATGGTATACTGGATCATTTACAGTTTGATCTATCTCATACAATTTTCACTTTTTCATTAGAAAATCTTTTCCTCATTCAGCTTACAGCCCATTTGTTATTGGGAGAAATGTTCATTTAGTCTCTAAGGAAGTCTTGAAGATACCACTCTTAAATGAAAAATGCCTTAAAGTTGCTTCATGAACTGCTTAAAACACATGCATATCTCGGTTCAGATTCTCAATCGATTAACAAAAAAAAAAAAGACAATTTGCAAACTTTATTAGCAATAGCAAAGCATCTGGCTCAACTGGACGTGATAATTTAGTTAATTTTCCCCATATTTATATTCTTGGTTACTTTTTCCACCTAGCAAACATCAATAACCAGCAAGGCTGCTGGAACAATTTTTATAGTAGGGGTGCTGAGAGACATTGAACAAAACTGTAAACCCTGTACATAATGGAAACCAGCTCAAGCACTTCTATTTTCATCACTTTTGATAACCAGGGTTAAATTCTTCTTGCCAGGAAAAATTAAAATCATGGGAAGTCACAGCCTCCCTTTTACAACAAAACTACAAATGATTTCCACTCCCTCTCTCAGAAAATATATCATTAACTCCCATCTCCTCCACTCCCACCTCTCAAACCAGGAAACTTAGGCCTGGTCTACACTATGGGGGGCAGGGCAAGCTAAGTCAGTCTAAGTTACACAACTTCAGCTAATAAAATAGCGTAGCTGAAGTTGATGTACTTAGAGCTACTTACCGCGGTGCCTTCTTTGCGGTCGGTAGACTGCTGCCACTCTCCCGTCGACTCCACCTGTGCTTCTCACTCCAGTGGAGTACCGGAGTCCATGGGAGAGCACTCGGCGGTTGATTTATCACGTCTTCACTATACACAATAAATCAACCCCCGCTGGCTTGATCGCTCCAGAGGTAAATGTAGACATGACCATAGAGTTAACTCCCACTCCCACCTGCATAGAAATAGTGAGATGAGAACAAGGAAAATTGCACTAAATATCTCCTCATTCCAACTCCCCATCGCAGCCTATTCACGGAAAGGAATATGGTACCGAGGTACCAAATCTCTTTAAGAATGAAGAGTTGGGAAGACATTAACAGATATCTATTAGGGTATCATTAACCCAGGACTGACTCAGCTGGCAAACAACTTATTAAAACATCACTAGAGAAACTACAGGGTGAGTCATATGAAGCCCTATTAAATACTTCCTACATTTCATAAACCACCAGTTAGAACAGAAACAAGCTTCATTACCCAGACTAACACCTTCACATATTAATAAACATTCTAATGCAAATCTTCAGATACTTTCTTACAATTCAGTCTTCAGAGGCATTCACTTTAAAAGAAAATATGTTGCTTCAGTTCTAGAACTACCACGAAACTGCACCCACTCTCTCAAAAAGACCTTCCAAAATTACTAGTACAAACTATATTTCAAATCAACACAGAAAAAGTTTCCAAATAACAATAATCACACCTTCCCCTAACCTCTCAGGCTATAGCACCACTACACAAAAATAACCTTTTAAAGTCTTTCACTTTACCACGCTCAGAAAGTGGACAGAGTGAGTTTCTAACATAGCCAGGGAAGGAAGGAAAAACTTGCTTATATTCAGGTAGAATGATGTACGGAAACCTTCATAGAGACTTTTCAAATTTTCTAAACGTTATTACCTTTATAACAAAAGATCCAGGGATCTTATGATAATTGGCTCAGGAAACTGCAAAAGGCCATAAGAAACCTCTGTTAGCAGTAACCAATTGTATCCAACCTCTGTAAATGTGTAACATTTAATTTGCTACAATGCAGCTGCTCGATCTTTCTCATACACTTTATTTTTTTATTGTTAATCTTCTATTGGGGAATAGCCCCATTTAGATGCAAACAATATGGTTTGTTATTGTACCAACTTCAACATTTAAACGTTGTGGAAGCAGAAGAAAACAGAAATTGCTGGCTACAAAATTTGTTCACATTTGTTTCATATGCACCATCTGCAACAACTATATCGCACAACACAGACATGTAACACAGCGAGAAGA